TCATCTTCCAAAAATCAGACTAACTAATAAGACAAAAACTTTCACTTTCTTCCTCCTGTCTCTGGGCTTCAGCACGACGGCGTTCAAACTCCCTCCTGCTCTCTTCTAGCTCCTTTTCCAATCTCCATTGTTCCTCTGCACGTTTTTCTAGCTCTTTTTCTACTCGGGCCATCTCAAACTTTTCTGCGCGGTGCAAAAATGACTCTACCACTGACTTGAGAGGTTCAACAACCCCAGTTCCCTCATCCCTCAGATAGATTTCCATTTTCAGCTGGTTCGCTTTCATCTTCAGATGCTCCACCTTCCGCGAGGCATCCGCCTGGTCCATTCTGATTCCCTCTAAGGATTGCGCCAGAAGGCCGCATTCTGTTTTAATATTTTCTTCCAGCTGGGGCAGTTTTGCTTTCAGAATCAACTTTCTTCGCTCGCCTTCCATCAGGACAAACTGGACGTTGGTGTAGCGCGCGCCGTTGTTAGGGAGTGTCTGCACAACACGCAACAGCTGTGCCACCTGTTTACGTTTTGTGTTTTGATCTCTCGATCGGTTGTTGAACAACACGACACGTCCGCCGCATTCCTCGATGAAATCGGCAAATTTGTTGTCTTGACTTTTACACCAATCAAGAGGCTTCATGTACGGGGTGCCTTCCTCCTCCATGGCGTCTAGAAAGCTGTCCCCACACGTCATGACACACACGCCGAACTTCCGGAACACGTCATCACCCAGCATGCCTTTCAGGAAGTTTAAAGCGTCCTGCTCTTCTCTCGTGAACCGAATGCCGAATCTGTAAACAAGAATGAAGGCGTAAAATCCGCCAGAGCTCATGCTCATCGCCTTGGACAAGTCCTTGACCGATTTCTCCACAGCCTGCTCCACGTTCAGTCGGGTCTCCCCTGTCCCTGGGCCGTCCACGACCATAACGGAGCAAATTCTTCGCTCTGCCCGAGCCACTTTGACGTCATAGGTCACCGAGGACGTGGAGGAAGAGGATTTGAACGCCTTCCACCCCAGAATTGAGTTGCCAGTCGCCGACTTGCCATGGCCTGTCTTACCCAGCAGAAGCAGGTCAAAACAAGGCTTCCTCCTGGAGGTCATCTTTGGAACTCTTGACCATAGACAGAAGAGAACAAAGAAAAAAGTCAAACATGTTCTTGGGTACAGTACAACTATTACTATCATAGGCCAGTTCCTCGAATAACCCCAACCGCCGAAAAGCTCGCCGGGATATGTTGG